ATTACCATCTCTTGATTGTGTTTTCTGATGAGCAGGTATCACCCTCAAACAACATTCTCTCCCTGCAGAATACTGGGAAGGGTCAGGATTTACACCAGTTTAGCAGCCCCAGAAGAAAGAAAGCTTTTCTTCTCAGTAGTTCATTGAGCTTTTATTGGCCCTTGTGGTCATGTGCTCATCTCCCTACCAATCACTGTAGCCAGGGAGATGTGATGCTGATTGGCTAGGTCGGGCCGTATGTCCCACCCACCCTACCTCCGGCTAGAGGGGCAAATACCCCTACAGGAGCCATATAGTAGACTGAAAGTGGGAAAGATGGTGATTTCGTCTAGTAAAATCAGTATTCAGCTACCAGAGAAATTAATACTCTGTATTCAAACATAAGAATGTTCCACAGTTGTTATCATCGGCTCCATTTAATGAAAATGAAACTGAGTCCCAGCAGAGTTAACTGAATTACCCCAGGTCACACACACCTAGAAAATAGCTGATCTGAGCATCACATCCAGGTCTGTATAGCTCCAAAACCTATTCTCCCTCTACTCCACCAGGTGGCCTTCATGGTTAACGTCAATCAGGAGTCTAGGATTTAGACTCTGTGACCCTTCATTTACAACCAAGTCATGTTAAAAATGGTCCTGAGGCGCCTGGCTGGCTCAGTCTGCTTGATATTGAGGTTGTTAGTTTGAACCCCAAATTGGGCATAGAGATTACTTAAAAATAAATATTTTTTGGAGGCACCTGGGTGGCTCAGCCAGGTGAGCTCTGACTCTTGATTTTGGCTCAGGTCATGATCTCGGGGTTTGGTTTGTGGGTTCAAGCCTCGCCTCCAGCTCTGGGCTGACAGCAGAGCCTGCTTGGGAATCTCTCTTTCTCCCTCTTTCTCTGCCCCTCCCCCATTCTCTCTCTCTCTGTCTCTCTCTCTCTCTCTCTTCTCTCTCTCTCTCTCTCTCTCTCTCTCAAAAATGAATAAACTTTTGTTTAAAAAATAAAAAGATTTTTTAAGTTGAGCATCTTTTAAAAATAAAATAGGGGCGCCTGGGTGGCGCAGTCGGTTAAGCGTCCGACTTCAGCCAGGTCACGATCTCGCGGTCCGTGAGTTCGAGCCCCGCGTCGGGCTCTGGGCTGATGGCTCCGAGCCTGGAGCCTGTTTCCGATTCTGTGTCTCCCTCTCTCTCTGCCCCTCCCCCGTCCATGCTCTGTCTCTCTCTGTCTCAAAAATAAATAAATGTTAAAAAAAAAATTAAAAAAAAAAAATGGTCGTTGGTCCCAGGAATTCTATTCTTCGTATCGTAAACATTTCTACATCTTCAGATCTTGGCTCCATCAGTCAGTGCTTCCTCATGAAGACTTTTCCGCGGCCACCCAACTAGACCAAATTCCTAAGCTCTTATAGTACCATATATCTCCTTTTAAAATACTTGTCCCCATTAAAGTTACACATTTCTGAGGTAATGTGATTAATGTCTGCCTTCACACTAGGCAAGAGAGCAGAAGTCATATCTGGTTTAATACATCTATATATTCCTAGCACCAAACGTATTACCTAAGGATTTGTTGAATGAATGAATCTACCATAAATAAAAACTCTTTTCTAAAATGGATGTATGTGAACTTTGGGCAAGGGCGAGTGACCGGGGTTCAGTAAAAATAACAGCTGAGGCATTCATAAGAAATGATGGTAAAGGCAAGAAGGGGGGGGGGTGGCTAGACAAAATGTATTCTGTCTTTAGTCGTATGTGCAAGGACTTAAGTCTTCAAGGGATGATGGGGTGAAGGAGAAGGGAGAGTCCAAGGAAAAGAAAGCACTGACCCTTTCATCTCGTATCTGAGTGCTGGTTGTTAAATATACCTGAAAGTCAGGGACTGAAAGTTTCTGGACAGTTCCTGTATATTAAAACAATGGTTCTCAAGCTTCAGTGCTTTAAGAAATATCTAGAGCAGTTATGAAAAATATCAATCCCTGAGACCCAGCCTGACCTGAGATTCTGTTGTTCTGTCTTAAAGAATATACATATTTATAACTGATACCCCACCCTCCCATACGCATGCTCTAATGAAAGTGGCCTCAGCCCACTCTTTAAGAAACGCTGTTAATAAACCATTTCCTAGTTTAAATAGTGCCTGAAAATAGGCTGAGGGTGGCTGTGTAAATTGGAGGTCTGGCCGCCTATAAACAAACCTTGAAGGCTGTACCCTCAGAAGTCCCAACAGCCCATCTGATCCCACGATTCCATATGAAGGTATGCACCAGGTGAAAATTCCAAAGATGTAAACGTTGCAGTCCTGTAGCCTTTCTCTCCAAAGGGCACTTTCAGATGTCTGTGGGTCATTTCCGATCATTGGGTCTCTGTTTTCTGTTGTTCTGGGCCAGCCGCTGTGGCAGGGGTGGCCAACTCTCTGACTTGTGACATTCTAGGTCTTTCTGTGCCATCATTACACGGGTGCTCACCATCTTATTAACTTCTTATCAAAATTCAGTTTAAAGAGAATTTTACTGAGGCAGAGAAACATTCATTTCATTGGCAATGCCTTTCACTTAGTGATGTCTTGTAGAAGCTTAAAAAAAAAAAAAAAAAAAAAAAGGCAAAACATTCCCAAACCTTTTGCTATTCCCCCACCCTTCCAACACGCTAGAAAAACTGAGGTGCCCCCTCACATTTGCAAAAATTGGAATTTCTTCTTCCTGCCTGTACTTCCTAAAGTAAGTCGCCAGATTCCCAATGAAAGTGCTTCTTCTAATAAACCGATTCTAGTTTCTATTAGCTCGAAGTTTGTCAGGACAACTTCTGCAGTATTACCAGAAGAGGGCAGCAGAGCACAGCGCTCCAGGAAGCAGGCACCTGAACTAGAACAGGGAAATCAAACAGCCAAGGTGTGTAGCAATAGTAAACGCATGAATCTTGAAGTGACGCCCTTCTGTTGTGATATTTTTCTGATCTCAAGTTAGCATCTGCGACGCTCTGGCTAATAATCACGTTAACAAATTACATCATCTCTTGTGTTGCCAGAGACAGGTAAAAATCACTGTGGAACCGTTCTGGCAATATGTATGGTCAGTCTCATGCTGGGGACCCGGGAGATCATTTATTCAGACAAGCAATGAGTTGGAAAGGTCTGGTGCTGTGCTTAGGGTAACATGTAAATTTGGAAACCCCCCCCCCCAGGATATCTTTCTTAGATTATACATACTTGACTTTTTAGAGCCAGTCAGACTCAATTGGCCAATGCCCTTTGCATGGTAGACTTTGTTTATAAGGAGGCAAATATAACCAAGACATTTGGCTCCCTAGGCTCACCTTCAATGGATTTATAATCTAGGAGGCAATTATACCTACTCAACTACTCTATATGAGAACGGTAGCAGTAAATGCAAGGAAGCTGCTTATTTAAATGTATAGATTGAGCATTTGTTCTGTGATGGTCACACGTAGTATGTAAAGATCTTTATTGCTCAGTTAATCCCCCCAGCAACAGTAAGATGCAAGTAAAATACGGACGAGGATGCTGAGACTTAGGTAGGTGAAGCTTATCAGAGCTGGGATGGACCGCTTGGCCAATGTGACCCCCACGCTTGCCCTAGGAGAAGAGATGCTGTTGGTTATTCTGCTTATTGCAAAGAATAATGAACGTCCACTTATAAAAATACTCTTAGTGATCTGGCCTTCTGTTTTCCTTGAAGTCCCTCAAGGCCTTGCCATATAAGGAACAGGTTCTGCAAACCATATATATGCATTGTGAAGAAAGTTTTCACTAGGAACCAACAGAGGGCAGCAGTAGATAAACCAGTCACAGTCCTTTATCTGCCATTAGGACCTTCAGGCCCCAGAGGATGTGGGAGATGGGTGATGGATGGGTACAGGGCTGGAGAGCACCAATTTCTAATTGCCATTAAAAAAAAAAAAAAAAAAAAAGACAGATCTCACCATGGAGGAGGCTAAAAATGTCCCCAGCAGGGATCAAAGTTCACTTAGAAAATGTCTCTCTTAATAAAGGGAACTAAGAGATAAGGGATGTGGCACTCCTTCTCCAAGACGTTTGACATTGTGGATGGTAAATAGGCCCACAAGCTTTTAGCCCAAACCCTGAGGGGTGCTTGCTCTCCCACAGGCACCTTGCAAATGAGCCCGATGCAGAATTGCTAAGTTTCCGTGCTGGGTCTACACACACCATGGCGACAGGGTCCTGAAGGCCGGCCTGCAGCTGTGGAGCCCTCGCCCGGCATTGGCATAGATGCCCGTGTCACTGGTGAGGGCTGCCCAGGGACAGCGGCCCTGCCATCAGGGACCGAGGCTGGCTCTACTGTGACTGGCACCTAGTGATCAAGGGCTCATTGCTTGTGACAGCATGTCACTTCTGCGCTTGTCTGAGATGTAGGGAGGACTTTGCAAAGCAACCAGAAGCCCTCCTTCCGTGGAGACGGGAGGGGGGAAACAAAAATGTGTGGCTTGACTCTGAGAATTGGCGTGCAAAAAATAAAATGGTAACAAGAAATAGTTGGGGCATTAGCAAACGAGCGTCTGGTCCCTAACTGCTGACCAAAAGGCCTGTACGAACGGGGCAGTCTCAGCCAGGGCCAAGGTTACATTAGGTAAAACCTATAAAATTTCCACTATTTGACCAGTTTTGAGCTACAGAAATGGCAATTTGCGTGTGGCTTAGCCCATTAAAATAACAAACAGCAATAATAACTTCTAGCTTTTATCAAGCACTTGGTGTCAGGAATAAATTCTAAGTCCATTCCACACGTGAACTCATTCAGCTCTCACAATAAGCCAGTGGGGAGGTAGGTCCTCACATTATATCCCAGTCTACACGTGGGGTAACAAAGGACCGAGGAGTCTGAGTAACTTGCTCTAACTCACACAGCCAGCGGGTAGCAAACCTCAACCTGAACCCAGCTACGAAGTACAGGGTCTCAGGGACAAGGACATGGTTGACGGGAGAGGGTTTCTTCAGGGACCGAGGTAACAACCTGACGATCTGCTTTTCCTTCCCAGGTCAGTCAATACACGTTTGCTATGTGCAGTTATCGGGAGAAAAAAGCGGAGCCTCAGGAACTTCTACAGCTGGATGGCTACACTGTGGACTACACCGACCCCCAGCCAGGTACCCACCCACCCTCCAGGCTCTGCACCCACAGAACTCTCCCCTGACACCAGTCACGGGTCAACTCACACTTCCTGAGCGCGTCCTCTGTGCCGGGCACTAAGCCGACTTACTAGGTCTTACACGTGACCAGGACAGCCACAGGCCCTGATCTTAAGGAGTTTCCATCCCGGTTAAGTGAATGCCGTCTCAATCAAGGGCTTTGGTTTTACCCAACGGATCTTCATAAAAGCAAACAGAAAACATAATACATTTTTCTTTTCCATAGCTGTGGCATGGGAAACGTGCACTCCACCTAGAATGCTACAAAGGACATGACTGAACGGGGAGTCCTATCGGTGCCCTCAGGACTATGTGTGTGTATGTCAGTGTGTGTTGTTTTTCACCAGTGATGTGTGGGCCTGGCAGGGTCTGCGTCTCCATGTCTAAGGGAGCCCATCCTGCGTATATCTGTCTGGTAACTACAATTCAGGGGTAGCTGATGGCACTTGAAAAGAAAGCCCTTCTTTCCTAAGAAGATACCAGTCCCCCAGCATAGACACCCCAGCTCCTAGCCTTATGTAACTAAAAGAACCACACAAATGGTAGTATTTCTCGTAAGTTCTACATCCTGCCCCCTCACACCTCTTCCCTCCCCCCCCCCCGTTTTATCTTTTTCCCGGGGGGAAAAAAATGAATAAAAATCAGCCTCAAAGAACCTTCAAAAGGGGGGGGGGGGGTGCGAAATCATTTCAGCATATTAATGAACAACAAGCACCAACAGCCCTCTCCCAAAGAAGTTTATTTTTATGCCAAATCTGCACAAGGGAAACATTTCCAACCATACTGCTTTATTTGGCCCAAAACCTTTTTTTCTACTCCCATATTGCTCTTCCACATGCAACAAAATACACATAAAAGAAAAACAGAGTTTGAGAAAAGATAGGATGTTAACCTGAAAAGGTGCGGCGGGGGAAGGCCCAGCCCGCCTCGGAAAAGGAGCACCTTCAGAATCGCCACCCTGAGTAATCTGGACCAACGCCCACCTCCCGCCTTGGTAATCTGCTTCCGGCCAGAGCGTGATAGGGAGCTGACCACGGAAGGCGAATGTTTCCGCCTGGAAAGCCTTCCTAGTGAATGGAGACTACGGGTTTGAAACCGTTGCACGCATCTCACTGAAAGGATGTGGCTCCTGCGTTAAGAAACCAGCCTCACGGGTTCTGTGATAGTCTGCATTCTTCTCAAACCATCGCGTTCCCTTGAGAAAAATAGATTCCAACTTTCGAGAGACCTGCGTTTTCCAGCGGGAGGCGAAAGGGCCCCACCTGCGAAGGAAATACACCAGCATCTTCTTCTGACAGTAATTCCTGCCGCGCCCGTTCACTGCTCCTTTCTCCCACACGGTTGCATTTGGACCTTACACAATCCCACCAAGGAGACAGGACCAGGATCATCTTTCCCATTTTGAAAAGAGAGAAAAAGAGCTGGAACTCAGGGTCTAGCCCACGTCATTCTTTGGCACTTGCAGGAAAACACAGCGATGCGTACCGCTAGAGCAAAGCTCGAATTGTTATTTTAGCCCAGGGAAGCAGAATTCTCTTCCTACACTGGGGAGGGCAGGAGCGGAGAGAAAGCTGTTCTGTACACATGCAAAAGTTAGCCGCGCACATATATGCTAAAAGCCTCTTTTCTTTTTTCCACATTGATCCCACGGGATATCATTTATAAATTCCTCCACCAAAGGTGTAAACGGAAAGTAAACGGATTATGTTCTTGAGAATAAGAAGCCACTTCTTTTCTGCTCTTCCGTGTACGAAGTCCTATGTGTTTCCAAAGTGATGTGTGACTGAAAATGGAGATTTAAAGGCTCCCACTTGTCAGAAGAAGTCTAACTCAGAACTGCTTAAAGAGTGCTTGTTAAAAGTAGAAGTTCCTGGGGCGCCTGGGTGGCTCAGTCGGTTAAGCGTCCAACTTCAGCTCAGGTCACGATCTCGCGGTTCGTGAGTTCAAGCCCCGCGCAGGGCTCTGGGCTGATGGCTTGGAGCTTGGAGCCTGCTTCCGATTCTGTGTCTCCCTCTCTCTCTGCCCCTCCCCTGTTCATGCTCTGTCTCCCTCTGTCCCAAAAATAAATAAATGTTAAAAAAAATTTTTTTTAAATAAATAAATAAATAATAAAAGTAGAAGTTCCTGGGCCCCACTCCTAACCTATGAACCAGAGGGGTGGAAGGCAGAATCCTCATAGTTAAATAAGCAGTGTAGAAGGATCCCTATGTACCGTCCCGCTTGCCAGCTGGAGAGGGAGTCATGCACAATTTAGCCCCTGTCCTCAGAGATTTGAAAATCTCAACTGCCCCCGACAGGTGAGCGTGCAAATGGGGAAGGACATCTGAGTACTTCCTCTTTCTCTTGCTCTTGGCTTTATGCAGGGCGCGAGTGGAGCCAACAGGTGGAGGTTGTTTATGGGGCTGATAGCGTCCTAAGGGTGCGTGTCCTTGCCTTTGCACCAGCCTCTGATTGAAATGGGCACCTAGACACAAGCCTGTGTGCCCCATCAACTCTACCTGTTTAGTATCTTTGAAATGTTAATTTGGGGAATTAGTAAATCATTGTGTGTGAATTTTACATACAGGGTGTTCATCTTTACCTAAAAATGGAAAATGCTTCACTTCAACTCTCCCTGGGTATGGTTTGGAGAGTATACAGTGATCTCTCAAGTTCTATGAGATTAAGTAATTATGTCTAAATAAAAGGACATTCCGAATAATTCAACGGCACAATTTAAACAAGCACATCAAGCCTTAGACAACTTTGCCGTTAGGAATAGACTATGTCAGGGCTCCTGGGGGGCTCAGTCAGTCAAGCTCCTGACTCTTGGTTTTGGCTCAGGTCATGATCTCACCATTTGTGAGTTCAAGCCCCTCATCGGGCTCTGTGCTGATGGTGGGGAGCCTACTTGAGATTCTCTCTCTCTCTCTCTCTCTGTCTCTGTCTCAAAAATGAATTAATAAACTTTTAGTAAATAAGTAAATAGACCATGTCCATCCAAGCAGTTTGTTGGAACAGCAGCCCCCCTTCCACCCTGCAGGGAACTGGCCACTATTCCCTGCCTGGGCCGCCTCTGTCCTTTCCCAGACGTGTTTTCTCGTTCTTGACAGGTCCATACCTGTGGGGCTGTGCTCCACGTTCTCCTTGAAGTGCCCATGCACTTCCATACGGCACGTCCCACAGATTCCGTCCCCGGGAGTTGCTCTGCCTGATCTAAAACTCTGCTGCCTCGGAGCACGGGTCAATGTTCACTTTGCTTTCTCCTCCCTTGGGATCCTTTCAGCTGGGTTGCTCTGCTCCCTCCTCACTGTCGTTGGTGTGCCCTTGGTCTCCCATGCTTTCTGGAACGGCTCTGCTGCTCTCCACTGCTGTCATTGCCACGGCTTCTGCTGCTTTAGAGATTTCTCCTTGGGTCCCACTCTGTGCACGATGAGGCTTCATTCTGTTGTTAGCAACTAATTCTCAGAGAGCTTTTACTGTGCGTCAGGCCACGCTATCCAGCTTTGCAGGAGTATAGCACAAGGGTTACGATCGTTAGCTCTGGAGCCAGACGGTGGGGGGAGAAGCCCAGCGCAGATACTTACAGCCCCATTTTGTGTTCATGGCCTAGTTATCGCCTTCTCTGTGACCATTTCCTCATTTATAAAATGGGAATAATAAGGCTTCCTTCATAGGAAGACCATTGAGAGGATTAAATAAACATCTGAAAACTTCTTAGTATCTTTCTACCTCTACCTCTCCACGGTCCAAAGCAACTCCATGAACTGATGTTTTGATGGTGGCTCCAGGAACACAGCCTCCCAAGCCCAGGAGGGTGGGGATCCAACACCCTGGAGGGTGGGGGTTGGGGCAGGGAAAGTACCCGCCAGTGATGCCTAGCCTGGCATTCACCGGCAGTATCAAAGTGGCTTATCCCAAAAGTTACCATGAGGCTAGGCTGCAGAAGGTCTGTTGACTCACTCTTTCTTTTACCTCCTTAGTGTTCATTTTTCAGGGCTTCGGGCATCCCTCAGAACTCTTCTGTCTTTCCCTTCAAGATTTTCCTTCTTATCATGCCATCCATTCATTTCATCAAGTTTTCCCAGCTTGCTAACTGTATATCATCCTATCCGAATCACCCATTTAAAAACCCTCCATAAGGAATTAGGCAAAATACTCTCTCATAATCATAACTACAAAAAAAAAGCTTTTGTTAAAAGTGCTGTAGCACTAGACTCTCCATATAAAGAAGTAGCTGCTTATGGTTCTAGAGACCCTGGCAATTCTAAGTGCAGAACTCCCCAACACACACCCACTGTTGCGGAATAGACACCTGAATTAACGTTATCAACACAACGGAGAAGTCTTAATGTCACCAGAAATCTTTTCCATTGGCAAATGTCAAACAGGCTAGTGACTGGGCCTTGTTGGAAACTTGGGGATGCTCTTCCCAAATATTCCCGCTCATTCTCCTCTCCATATTAAACTGAGAGTTTGGAGGATGATGAAAATATGAAGCTTTATTTCCAGCCAGTGACTGGCATACACAGTCTTCTGGACTATGTTGACAGACACGATGTAGCTTTGGTCTGAGCCCAAAGAGGCTTCCACCCACCTCTCTCTGAATTTTAACCTTGAGAAGAGCCTGTGGAAAAAGATGGGTCTGTAGAGCATTCATTCACTCAATAAGTATTCACTAGATACCTACACTATGCCATGCGCTGTTCTAGGTACTAGGGATACAGCAGTGAACGAAACAGACAAAAACTCCCTGTCCTTATAAAGTTAAGTAAATTACATAGCTTGTTGGAAGGCGATAAGCAAGATAAGAGAGATGGTGACTGAGGGGTAAAAGTCAAGGAGGGACTCAACAAGAATGTGATGTTTGGGCAAAGATATGAAGGAGGTGATGATGTGAATCATGCAGATATCTTGAGGAAGCATGTTCTAGGCACAGGAAGGAGCAAGTGCAAAAGTCTCGAGGTGAGAACATACCTGGAGTGTTCCAGGAACAGCAAGAGATCAAGTGTGGCTCCTGGGAAGAACATGCATGTCTGCACTAAGGATAGAGGAGGAGGAGGAGGAGGAGGAGGAGGAAGAAGAAGAGGAGGAGACAAGGGTAGATGTAGTGGTGGGTCAATTCGTGGAGCCTTGAAGGCCTTGTCAGAACCTAGACTTTTCCTTTGAGCAAAATGAGGAGCAACTGGCTGGTTTTGAGCAGAGGAGTGACATGACTCAACTCTCGCTAAACTGATTACTCTGGCTGCCATTGAGAATCGACTATAGGGAGTGAGGATGAGGCAGGGCAGATAAGGTGGGAGGCTATTAAAATAGCCCAGGTGAGAGATGAGCATGACTAGATCCAGAGTGAAAGCCCTGGAGGTGGAGGAAGGGGTCAGATTTTGGTATAATGTTCTGAAGGCGGAGCCATCAGAATTCCATTGGAAGTGGGTAGTGCGAGAAAATGAGGAGTCAGAAAGGATCTCAAGGTTGAGGGCTTGAACAGCTAGAGGGGGGAGCTCAGCTTTACTGAGATGGAGAAGAGTTTGGGAGAAAGACCAGGAGTTCACTGTTGCATATGATAAGCTTGGGGTGTCTAGTGTCTATCAGATATCCATGTGAAGAAGTCAAGGAAACCATTAGATGTCCAGGTCTGCAGTTCAGAGGAGCGGTCCAGGGTGAAGATAGAAATGTAGGGACCATGAGCATATTCATGGTGTTAAGACTGGAAGGCATCATTGAGGAAGAGGAGAAGAGGTCCAAGGACTCAACGCCAGGATGCTACACCATTCACCAGTCAGGAGGAGGAAGAGAAGCCAGCAAACAAGACTGACAAGCAGCAGTCAGGGAGGAAGGAGGAAATTGGGAGACTTGGAACCAAGTGGAGAAAGCGTTTCAAAGAGCATAGAGTGTCAAGTGTGGCTGATATGTCGATGGATAGAATAAAATGTAGACTCTGAACTGATCTTTGGATTCAGTGATGTGGAAGTCATTGGTGACCTTGGCAAGTTTCCATGGGGCAGCAGCCTTATTGGAGAAGCTTTAAAGCTGAATGGGAGGAGAAAGACTTTTGTTACTGATGGTGTGGTCCTCAGATCAACACCATCCATCCTCTGGAAGCTTGTTAGGAATACAGGATCTCAGGCTCCTGCCCCAGACCTACCAAATCAGAAGCTGCCTTCTAACAAGATGCCCACAGGATTCACATGTGGGCTACAATTTAAGAACCCACGGTCAGTATGGCTAACATTAACAACTCAGGAAACAACAGATGTTGGCAAGGATGCGGAGAAAGAGGATCTCTTTTGCATGGTTGGTGGGAATGCAAGCTGGTGCAGCCACTCTGGAAAACAGTATGGAGGTTCCTCAAAAAATTAAAAATAGAACTACCCTAATACCCAGCAATTGCACTACTAGATATTTACCCAAGGGATACAGGTATGCTGTTTCGAAGGGGCACATGCACCCCAGTGTTTATAGCAGCACTATCAACAATAGCCAAAGTATGGAAAGAGCCTAAATGTCCATCGACGGATGAATGGATAAAGAAGATGTGATATATATACAATGGAGTATTACTCGGCAATCAAAAAGAATGAAATCTTGCCATTTGCAACTACCTGGATGTAACTAGAGGATATTACGCTAACAAAATTAGTCAGAGAAAGACAAATAATCATATGACTTCACTCATATGAGGACTTTAAGATACAAAACAGATGAACACAAGGGAAGGGAAGCAAGAATAATATAAAAACAGGGAGGGGGACAAAACATAAGAGACTCTTAAATATAGAGAACAAACAGAGGATTGCTGGAGGGGGTGTGTCGGGGAGGATGGGCTAAACGGGTAAGGGGCATCAAGGAATCTACTCCTGAAATCATTGTGGCACCATATGCTAACTAACTTGGATGTAAATTTAAAAGAAAAAAGAAAAAAAGAAAAAGAACCCAGGGTACAGATTGCCCTTATGTTGTGAAGAGAATAATTGGCGTAACCAAAGGGAGAGGTGGGGTCAAGAGATGGTTTTTTGGTGGTGGTGGTGGTGGTGGTGGTGGTTTGTTTGTTTCCAAAGATAAGAAAAATAATAGTATGTTTATAGGCAGATATCTACCCAACCAGTAGGCAGCCTGCTTGACACTTCTGTCCCTAGGAAGACAAAGACAGAGACAAGAGCCAGTCTCAGAATGTCTCTTTAACATTATGGCTTCACTCTGTGGCCAAGTGGGTATCAGACTTCCCATCTTAGAGTCCGATAAACTGCTCCTCCCTTCTCTGGCCCGAGGAAAAGCAGTAGAAATGGCCTTTCTTGGGCGCGGTTCTGCCCAGAACATGGTGGCTCAGCTTAGTAGTGTTTATTCCCTTTTATTCCAGGGTTAGAGGGTGGCCGAGCCTTCTTTAATGCAGTCAAAGAAGGAGACACCGTGATATTTGCAAGTGATGACGAACAAGATCGGATCTTGTGGGTCCAAGCCATGTATCGGGCCACTGGGCAGTCACATAAGCCAGTGCCCCCAACCCAAGTCCAGAAACTCAACGCTAAGGGAGGGAACGTGCCTCAGCTGGACGCCCCCATCTCCCAATTTTGTAAGTAAATATGCCATTTGTTAAAAATAGCTCTGTAGAGGAAAGCAAATTTTCCAAAGTTGAATTAGAAAATCTAGTTTTTTTAATGTTAAGGATTCATAAAATTATGTTTGCTGGGGGGGAAAAAAAGATTAATTCAGGGGGAAAAAGTTGGAACTAAAATGTTAGATGAAAGTAATTTTAAAGTGCAATACTTGACATTTCCCCCCAAGGACTAAACAGAGGAAAATATATTTTAGGTATATTTTTATCTCTTTGTTTTGGTGAGAGTTTGGAATTCACAGCCAGGCTTGTATTTGTTTGAGTCCTTCAAATATAGTAGGTTATGTACGTCCTTGACTCATTTCTTCCTATTAAAAGTAATTTTAAAATAGGGCTTGATTTGAAGTAAATTTAAAGCTGCAACTTAGAACCATTTAAAAATAAATGATGACATTATCACATGCAGTGGAAAAAACAAAAAACAAAAAAAAAAATGGTACCTAAAATCCCATTCTGAGCAAATATACGAGGACCCAGCAATGAAGCTGTTTCTTTAAATGTTGCTGGTTCATTTTCCAGTTCCTTTTCCTCTTACCTCTGTATCCATTTTAACATCTTGCCCTTTTGTCATAACTTTTTGCTACCTAGGAGATTTTTTTTCCCTCTCCCAACACTTCTTATACATGAGGCAAGGTGAAATCCAGCATGCACTTGGAGTCGTTTATTAAAACAAAGGCAATGGAAACACTGGAAATATAAAGCACCAAATAAAGTAATTCATTTTAGTTACAAACATCAACTATAAATAGAGAGTTGTGCCATACCCCGAATATCAAGTCATTCAGGGATCACTCAGGTACAAGTCATTTTCAGCAATCATCATGATGATTCCTTACTTTAGCACGGAACCTACTCAGTCTAGTTCACAGAGACAACCATCCAGGCCAGGAGACATACAAATGAGGAAGGCAGACGAGGTCCCTGCTCTCAGGATACCTGCATCCCAGCACACAAATCAAAAAAATAAATAAGATAGTTGCAGACATTGAAAAATACAAAGAGAATATAATGCAGTGGTGACTGGGTAGAGAGAGATGATCTGAATTCAAGCCCAAATGATAGGAAGTCAGCTCAAAAATACCTTCCCAGCAGACAGGAAAGCAGGTGCAAAAGCCCACAGCAGAAACTTGGCCTTCAAGGCAGTGGTTCTACATAATCTCTCCCTGTCACTCTTAAGCAAAATATGCATATGATTTAAATGATTTTACAGCTACACAGCTAAAGAGAGGTGAATTTTCTTTCCTAATAGATTCCACTGCCATGTCCATTTCTGTGTTCTTGTAACACTATTGCTTATGGCAAAAACAAACAAAAACTCTTTTTGGATGAGAAACACTATCCATCAGGTGCTCCAAGGAATTCCTGTCCAGTACCAATGGTTTCTTAAAGAAAGATGTATTATCCATGGAACATTATGGATAATCACACCATCACTATGGGTTTCCATACAGAAAACCCTGAAAGAAGGAGGACGAAGTTGAGGAAGGACATTGGGGTAAGGGACAGCCCTCCTGAACGTAACCACCACCATCTTCCCCACTCTCTTCTTGTTTTCTCTAACATTTGTGACACTTAAGTTTATCTGAGATCAATAAAGAGAGAAGGCAACATCTCTTTCTCTGGGTTTAGTCATGATTTGAGATCAAGCATAACCAATTTTTATTTACTTTGTTTTAAAGAAACACTCTGTGATGGAATCCTTCCTTTCACCCTGCCTGACAGGCTCCATTTTAATAAATTTAGAAACAACACATCCTATCATGTTCCTCTGAAATAGAATTATGCGCACATCAGGGGAGAAAATTTCTAATTGTAATCACCATCCAAATCAACCTCATAGAACGTGTATCTAAATTCAGTGGTATTTGGAAAATGCTGGTTTTATTTCCAAAGAATCTCAATTTCTTCTGAAGTCATTTCACCTACCTTTCAGTGTTTATGTTCTATCATCTGCCCAGATCAAGAAATCACTGCTTCATTTGTGATTAGCCTCATTTTTTCCTCACTAGGGTAGGAAAGAGGAAGGAATTCAGGAGTAAAATTAAATGGAAACCAGGTACTGATTGAAAATTAAAAAAAAAAAAAAGACCACCAATGGAGGCTGCTGAAGAGGCAATGAGTGTCTCCTCATGGAAATATGCAGGGGCTCTTGATTAGATTTTCCTCTGTGGGTAAGATTCATTTAGCAAGAAAATTAGAGTGCTAGTCATTAGGCATCAGCAGGAAGATTTAATTGATTGCACAGGAGCTTGATGTATGTCACCACCCTAGTTGACATAGGGAACTTGTATTAAATGGAGAATCCAAAGCAAAATTCTAAGGGTTAGAATATGGGTAATATCATCCCTAGGTAAGCATGGGAGCTAATAGGTAATATCATCCCTAGAGAGCATGGGAGGTAGACTGAGAGATATGTGAGAACGTAATGTAATTCATGCCTCTGGAATTTGTCCGTACCTTGTGGCAGAACCACCTTCTCTAGTGTCTTCTTAATCACTGTTAGGAACAGGGGTTCTCCAAAGGGTGTGAGGCCCTACTACACCTCCAGGTTCTATAAGAACAAAGCAACCACATTCATCCATGCAGATTGTGCACTTCCTCAGTCACTTTGCACACAGACAAAAACGTGAATGGTGCCTGTTGAGTTGTGCGGTGCCCAATATGCACAACTGTATATGATGACCCTCTGATAAATGATAGTCCTTACCCGGAGCTTCAATCCAACAGTGTCGAACTCAATAATCCCATAGTTCCTTTACTACTAAAACAGACGCTCAGCACCCCTCCAGATTCTTTCTATCGCTAGGTTAGGCACTTAATAAAAACTGCAGCCAGAGTACCAGCAAGTGAGGCTTCTTTTCCCATAATTTAGCAAAGGAATCCAGTCAGGATTTTAACCGACCCAGCCTTTTGCACCACACCTGAGCATTTGCAGTGAAGGGTATATAACACCAATGCTAAAGATTAAAAAAAAAAAAAAAAAAAAGGAATAAGGAACTTTACATTCTGTAGTACTGCCACTGAGTAGTTATGCATAACAACCAAAAACTGGCTGGGGGTTGGAGAATATATCATAATTTTTAGTGGAATCTGCCACAAAATGGGGATTATGTCACAATTACTTTACAGCTACACTTAGTTTGTTAATTTCAAACCATCACTATGAAACAGATCGGGCCTGATCTATGGGTAGCAGTCATACTCACATTGTCGATTCATACTTAGGGTTACCGCCTTACCCAGATTCGCCCATGACTTCCCTGGTTTTAGCTCTGAAAGTTCTGTGTCCCCAGAAATTCGTTGGTCCTGGGCAAACTGGGACAGGTTGGTCACCTGGCACTACAAAGCAAGGTTCTAGAAAAATGAAAAACAATCACAGCATAGTACTAAGTAGCAAACTTTGATCCTTCCCTGATATTTGGCTCTCAGTCTAAATTGTCATGTCGTAAACATTCAGGCACCGGTTCTGGAACAAAATGAGTAAAACCAATCAAGTATTGCATTTTAAAAAGGTTTCCTTGACTTCCAAAAGGTAAGGGTCATTGTTAAATACCTAATTCTGTACACAGTTCATCAAATCCAATATCTGTTCAAAATATTTGCCATTCTTGCAAGTGAATAATTTTTAGGAACAACGTTTGAGCGAGCTAACTTTGTAATCACTTTATTAGTATTACTTGGCAAAGGGAAGCTATGGAAAAATGGGAGAGGTTTTTTTGGGTAGAGAAAAATAAACACTCCAGTCTTGTCATGTCGCTGTCTGCTCAAGGGTAACTTGAGAATAGAACATCTTACAGTTTGGGAAGCTTGGGAGTAATCATGAGTTTATTTGGGTCTTTCTAAATTCAGTTTGACAGACTTCTGGGTACAGTTTTATTTTTTGCAATTTCAAAATGAAAAGACACGTCTAAGAAAGAGTGGAGTGGAGTATTTCCATGGAATTGTAAAAACCGAAGAAAAAAAATAGATCCTGCTATTCATTCGTTTGTATGTGACTCTACAATGATCTGGGGAGGGTTCCACCAAACTTTAAAACTCTTTTGTTCTTTTGTGGTTTTTTTGGTGTGTGTTGTCGTTGATTTAATTTTTCCCCTTTCATTTTGGTTACAACGTGAAGAAATGAAGTCAGTGGCTAGCTGTCCAATGTTTTTGAATCAATATGTGCAATGTTCCGATTTTGAAGGCCAATATTGCTCACCTTGGAAACTACGTCCAAATCTGTTGTTGAGGGTTGCCACATTTTATTACACCAAGTGGCCTCTCATTGAGACACCTGATTCCTGTCCAGTCTGTGTTAGAGGAACAGTAACAATCGGTACCTCCGTTCTCATGTGGGGTGGAGGGAGGGGGGATTTTAAGCTTTGCTCTTTGGTCAATGGTTACTTGATATATCACTTGAAATGAGTCTCATTTTAATGTCTGTTTCTCAACTAATAACTGTTAATCACATCATACATCCCCAAAGTTGGATGTTTTTGAGAACTGTTCTATTTTTGCTATCACCCTAACAGCCTTCAACAGTTAGTGGGGTCTTGGTAACTGTTGGTTTGGGAGGGAGGGTTGATTTTGGTTTTTGTTTTATTTTGTATCATTTACGTTTTCTTGTTCAATCTTTGCTCAAACCCAAGAACTTTAGCTGCTAGGTTAGAACTCCTGTCTGCTTTCCTGAGCCTTGTTGCTAGTCTTTATGTTATTCTGGTTTGTTCCTTCTTACCCTGCTAACTTCTAGCTGGACTGAAGGGTAAGTGTTCCCCTATAGCTAGCACAGCTCAGATAATCAGACTAGATTATCTGACACCTGCAATGTGCTTCCTCCCTATCCTCTTAAATCTCCCTCATGTCTAGACTTTGTAGTAAAACTTTTCATGTTATTTTCCTGACCTTAGGTTTGAAATGTAAGCTTCCATACCGAAACTAGGATGCATGTGATGTGTGCATAATTGCCTCCTCTCCTTGGC